GTGGGCGTGTGGGGACATGCGTGGAACATGCGTGTGCGTGGGGACACGTGTGTGGGCGTGGGGACACGTGTGTGCACGGCAGGGACCTTCCTGGAGCACGTGTGTGGGTGTGGGGACACGCGTGGGCGTGTGGGGACATGCGTGGAACACGCGTGTGGGCGTGGGGACACGTGTGTGTGTGTGGGGACGTGTGTGTGTGTGTGGGGACGCGTGTGTGCAATGCAGGGACGGGCCTGGGGCACATATGTGGGCGTGAGGACACGCATGGGAGTGGGGACATGCATGCAGCACGTGTGTGGGCATGGGGACACGTGTGTGCGTGCGGAGACACACGTGTGGAGTGCATGGACACGCGTGGAGCACACGTGTGCAATGCAGGGACATGCATGGAGCACATGTGTGGACGTGGGGATACACCTGTGAGTGTGGAGACATGCGTGTGCAGTACAGATTAATGCCTTGACCATGTGTGTGGGCTTTGGGACACGTGTGTGCAATGCAGGGACATGCCTGGTGCACGTGTGTGTGCATAGGGACACGCATGTACATTTGGGGACATGCGTGTGCAATGCAGGGACGTACGTGGAGCACATGTGTGGGCATAGAGACACACATGTGCGTGCAGGGACACGTGTGCAATGCAAGCATCTGCGTAGAGCACGTGTGTGCGCATGGGGATGCATGTGTGGATGTGGGGAGTGCATGTGCAATGAAGGCACATGCCTGAAGCACCTATGTGCACATTGGGACATGTGTGCATGTAGGGACACACACGTGCAATGCAGGGATGTGCCCGGTGCATGTGTGTGTGCATAGGGACACGCGTGTACACATGGGGGCATGTGTGCATGGCAGGGACGTGCCTGGAGCACGTGTGTGGGCATGGGGATGTGTGTGGTTGTGGGGACATGCATGTGCAATGCCGGGATGTACATGAAACGTGTGCATGGGGACATGTGTGTGCATGTGGGGACACAGATGTGCAGTGCAGGCAAGTGCCTGGAGCATATGTGTGGGCATGGGAACACGCACGTGTGTGTGTGATACACATGTGCAATGTAAGGACAGGCCTGGAACACGTGTGGGCGTGGGGACGGATGTGTGCAATGCAGAGATGTGCTTGGAGCACGCATGGGCACATGGGAACACGCATATGCATGTGGGAACGCATGTGTGCAGTGCAGGGACATACCTGGAGCAGGTGTGTGGGCATGGGGACATGCGTGTGGGGACACATGTGTGTGCAACACAGGGATGTATCTGGAGCATGTGTGCAGGTGAGGACGTGTGGGTGTGGGGATGCGTGTGTACAACAGAGACGTGTCTGGAGCATGTGTGCACAGGGGAACATGTGTGTGCATGCGGGGACACGTGTGCAATGCAGGCATGTTCCTGGAGTATGTGTGTGGGCATGGGGACACGTGTGTACAGCAGGGATGTGCCTGGAGCACATGGGTGGGTGTGGGGACGCACACGTGCATGTGGGTACATACATGTGCAATGCAGGGACGTATCTGGAGCACATGTGTGGGCATGAAGACGTGTGTGCATGTGGGGACACTTCTGCAATACAGGTACATGCCTGGAACATGCATGTGGACGTGTGCATGTGTGTGGACATGTGTGTGTATGGGGACATATGTGTGCAATGCAGGGACATGCCTGAAGCATGTATGGGGACGTGTGTGGGGCCACACACGTGTGTATGGCAAAACACGTGTGCAACACAGGGGCATGCCTGCACTATGTGTGTACATAGCGACACGTGTGTGGGGACAGACGTGTGCAATGTACGGACACTCCTGGAGCATGTGTGGGTGTGGGGACATGCGTGTTCACGGCAGGGACATGCCTGGAGCATGTGTGTGCAGTGAGAGGGCCCCCACGGAGCAAGGCCAAGGCCGGCTGAAGGTGCTGCTCCGGGGACACCAGGCTGCTCCTGTCCTTAGCTGACGTGGGGACACACACACACACACACGGAGGGGGAGAACACGCTGAACGGATCCCGGGAATGACCCCGAGAGAGATGGAGTTCAATCATGAAATCACCAAAGGGTTTGGACGGGATGGGACCGTTAAAGGGCCATCTCATCCAACACCCCTGCCACCGGCAGGGACATCTTCAAGTGGATCAGGTGGCTCAGAGACCGGTCCAACCTGGCCTGGGATGTGTCAAGGGACAGAGCTGCCACCACCTCTCTGGGCAACCTGGGCCAGTGTTTCGCCACCCTCAGCATGGAAGGGAGGTGCATAACCCCGCTGCATCCAGCCCTGCGACCCGAAGGGTTCGTGTTGTTGGTCACCACCCTGCTTGATAGGACGAGGGGGAATGGCTTCAAACTGGAGAGGGGAGATTTAGATGAGATATCAGGAAGAAATTTTTCACTCTGAGGGTGGTGAGCCCCTGGCACAGGTTGCCCTGAGAAGCTGTGGCTGCCCCATCCCTGGAGGTGTTCAAGGCCAGGTTGGACAGAGCTTGGAGCAACCTGGGCTGGTGGGAGGCTGTGCTGCCCAGGGCTGGGGGGTGGAACGAGATGGTCTTTACGGTCCCTACCAACCTAAAACAGTCTATGAGTCTATGATTCTAACCAAACTGGTCCTATGGTGATCACTACTGGGAAGCTCTGAGATGTTCGTACCACCCAACCCTATGTCCACCTTCCAATGTGGCAATGCAAGAAGGCCTCAAGATAAACCAGTAACAGAGACAATCACCATCAGCCCTTAGGCAAACATCTTCAAAGAGCTCAAATAGAATCATAGAATGGTTTGAGTTGGAAGGGACTGTAAAGATCATCTCATTCCACTCCCCCTGCCCTGGGCAAGGATACCTCCCACCAGCCCAGGTTGCTCCAAGCCCCGTCCAACTTGGCCTTGAACACCTCCAGGGACGTGGCAGCCACAGCTTCTCGGGGCAACCTGCCCCAGGGGATCACCACCAGCCTCGCCCATGTTTTGAAAGGGCTGTGAGTGATTGAAAGGTCCCACGGATGATGCAGCCCTTTGACTTGGGTTTGGCAAGAGGCAAAGCAGACAAGGAGATACAAAGCCACTTGGAGCTGCACCAAGAAAAGAAATGCAGGAGCTGGTTGAAAAGCCGTATTTAAAAAAAAAAATTAAATTAAAAAAAGCCACACTGTATTTCAAAAAATAAAAATAAAAATAAAAAAAAGACAAATGAAGGTTACAAATAACTACAGTTGCAGGAGGTGAAGGAGGTCCTTGGAGGTGCCCAGTGCAATCAACCCACATGTCTCCATGTCTCCCCAGGTTGCTTGGACCTTCTCATGCTGCAACGCAATCTGCTGCCTGGTTGGGCCGCAAATCCAGGAAGGATTTGGTTTGGGGCAACTGGTGGAGGTTAAAGGCATGATGACATGGTCACATGGACCTCTGAGGCACATCCCAATGGAGGACCATTGCGCTAACCAGTCTGGACGGCCGCACCTATTAGGTACCTAAAAGTTGCCAGATTCCCTTTATGTTCAATCGGGAAGGGCAGGGAATCGCGTCCCCAAGGCATCTGATATTCCTCATAATTCCATCTGGACATCTTGCTGCTCCCCATCACCTATGAGCAGCACCAGGTGCCTCCAGAGAATCATAGAGTGGTTTAGGTTGGAAGGGACTTTGAAGATCATACAGTTCCAACTCCCCTGCCCTGGGCAGGGACACCTCCCACCAGCCCAGGTTGCTCCAAGCCCCGTCCAACCTGGCCTTGAACACCTCCAGGGATGGGACCTCCACAACTTCCCTGGGCAGTATGTTCCGGTGTCTCACCACCCTCACAGTAAAGAATGTCTTCCTTATATCTGTTCTAAATCTCCCCTCTTCCAGTTTGAAGCCATTCCCCCTTGTCCTATCGCTACACGCCCTTGTAAAATGTCCCGCTCCAGATCTCCTGTAGGCCCCCTTTAGGTACTGGAAGGCTGCTATAAGGTCTCCCTGGAGCCTTCTCTTCTCCACGCTGAACACCCCCAACTCTCTCTGCCTTTCCTCACAGGAGAGGTGCTCCAGCCCTCTGATCATCTCAGTGGCCTCCTCCATCCTTGCTCCAGCAGGTCCATGTCCTTCTTATGCTGGTGGCCCCAGAGCTGGAGGCAGCACTGCAGGGGGGTCTCCCCTGAGTGGAGCAGGGGGGCACAGTCCCCTCCATCGCCCTGCTAGCCACGCTGCTGGGGATGCGCCCAGGTTGCCGGTGGCTTTCTGGGCTGCCAGTGCACGTTGCCGGCTCATGTTGAGCGTCTTATCCACCAACACCCTAAACCTCTTCTCAGCGCTGCTCTCCAGCCATTCTCCACCCAGCTTGGATTTGTGCTTGGGATTGCCCCAACCCATGTGCAGGACCTTGCACTTGGCCATGTTGAACTTCTCACAGGCCCACCTCTCCAGCCTGTCCAGGTCCCTCTGGGTGACATCCCTTCTCTCCAGCATGTCTACCTCGACACACAGCTTGGTGTCATTGGCAAACGTGCTGAGGGTGCACTCCATCCCAACATCCATGTCACCAACAAAGATGTTGAACAGCCCCGGACCCATCACCGACCTCTGAGGAAAACCACTGGTGGAGAAGACCTAAAACTTGATTAATCCTGAAACGAACCACCTTTTGCCTTTTCTCTTTTTGACTAACCGCTCCGTGCTTACTCAGGGTGTCCAACCAGCGCGTCCCATCCAGGTGAGGTCTGAAAAAACACCGTCTCAAAACGAATATTGATATTTTTGCTGCTTTATTTATTTATTTCTAATTTTCCACTCAACTGGGGCCAACGTCCTGTTGGAGCTGCGGCAGCGGTGGAATCACCTGGACTCCTGGAAAGCGCGAGGTGTTTGACTACTGTTCCACTTTAGCACAAATGGGTTTTCTTTCATGAGAATTCACTTCTCCACTACTGCTTTAATTAATTTTGAAGTGGTAACTTTAATTAATTAACTCATTTTAATTCATTCTAAATTGTTGTGGATTCCGGTTTGGGTAAGTTTGGGGATTTCTTTTTGAAACCTTAGTGCTGAAGAAATTGATTTATTCTATTCATACCTCATCGCTATGTTTTAAAAGGCTCTCATGCATTTATTCATCCTTCGCTTTTAAATATTGTTTAATTGCTATTAATTCTGACGTGGCAAGTTTGATTCGGAGTTGCTGCATGTTAATATTTTTAATACTTGACAATCTTTAAAATCACAGGCTTTTTCTTAAAGTTTAACTTGAATGCTCTAGCTGCATCTTAGAATCCCTTTTTTGCTTTTTTTTTAATTTATTTTTTCCCCAGTAGCATGGATGGTTTTTCTTAATCACAAAATTTAAAAATATCTGAAGCTTAATATATTAATTTCTGGGTTTCTCTATATCTTATTTAACCTATTGTTGCTTATAATGTTTTAACACCTTTTAATACCATAAAATATGTATTTTTTTACTAAAATTTTTAAAATTTTTAATTTTTTTTTTTGCCATTTTTTAACTAACAATTCATCCACACAGAGGTGTTTACAAACATACTTGTTATCTAATTGTTAATACTTATTTAGGCTAGTATACTTAATTTTTGGAGGGAGGCAAGCCTACAGTTATCTATTAACTGTTGATTATAAAACACCAGATAGATTTATTTTAGGTCCATTCCAAAAAATCTAGATACCTGCTCGGATTGCAAGGAAAAACAAAAATTGGTAATAATTTGAAGTTTTCTCTGTAGTTTTTAGTTTTGCTTTACTTATTTCTTAACTCAAAACAGGGACAGTGATGGGTTAATGCAATTTCCCACTTCTACTGTTAACCCACTGCCCGGGGGTGGGTTAACATTCCTCTTTGAAGTGTTTAAACATTTCTTAATCCCATTTTTTTCTCCTGTTTGCTTGGAAAACAAAGCAGGAGTGGAAGGGAAATGGCTGCTTTCATTGTTTGCTTTTAAAAAAAACACGTCCTCTTCCCTGGGAGCCAATATTTATGACTTCTCAAACACTCTGTGTTTGGGTTCCTTTTTCAGGCTACTTTTATCAGAATTTTACATATAGTTTTCAGCGTAGCAGTCCTTTTGCACGACAGCGGAATACTTGCCACGTTCCCAGGGGAACGTGTAGAAAATGCTTTTAATTTCGCAGATGACTGCGTGGCTGCCTTGATTTACAGGCAGACCAGGTGGAGCCTGAAGGGAGGAAGAACTTCTCTTCCTCTCCCCATAGCACAATCATGAAGGGTTTTGATGAAAAAGAAGACTAACCTACAAGGAGAGGTGCTTTACTGGACCTGATACTCACAAACAAAGAGGGACTGGTGGAGGATGTAAAGGTTGGGGGCAGACTGGGCTGCAGCGATCATGAGAAGATAGAGTTCAGGATTAAGTGTAGAATAGACAAAATGACAAGTAGAGTTGAAACCCTAAACTTCAGGAGGGCTAAATTTGATCGTTTCAAAGAATTGCTTGGGCAAATCCCATGGGAAAGGGCTCTAGAGGGTAAGGGGGCTCTAGAGAGCTGGCTGCTATTTAAGCGTCACCTCCTCCAAGCTCAGGATCAGTGCATCCCAAAGAGCAAGAAATCAGGCAAGGGGAGAAGGAGACCTGCATGGCTGAGCAGGGACCTTCTGAAAAGGCTCAGGTGGAAGAAGGGAGTTTACAATAGGTGGAAGAAGGGGCTGACTGCTTGGGAGGAATACAAGAATGCTGTCAGGGTATGCAGGGAGGAAACAAGGAAAGCCAAGGCAGCCTTGGAATTGAACCTGGCGAGGGATGTCAAGGCCAACAGGAAGGGTTTCTTTAAGTATATAGGAGACAAAAGGAAAACTAGGGAAAATGTGGGCCCGTTGTTGAATGAGACAGGTGCTGTGGTGACGGATGATGCAGAGAAGGCGGAGTTGCTAAATGCCTTCTTTGCTTCTGTCTTCACTGTTCGGGCCAGTCCTTGTGAGACCCCGACTTTGCAGGTAACAGAGAAAGTCTGGGGGAAACAAGACTATCCCTTGGTTGACAAGGAGCACGTTAAAGATCAGTTAGATAAATTGGATATACATAAATCCATGGGGCCTGATGGGATGCACCCTCGGGTGCTGAGGGAGCTGGGGGAAGTCATTGCTGGGCCTCTCTCCATTATCTTTGAAAGGTCCTGGAGGACAGGTGAGGTGCCTGAGGACTGGAGGATAGCCAATGTCACTCCAGTCTTCAAAAAGGGCAGGAAGGATGACCCGGGAAACTACAGGCCGGTCAGCCTCACCTCCATCCCTGGGAAGATGATGGAGCAGCTTGTTCTGGGAGTCATCTCAAAGCACCTGGATGAAAAGAAGATTATCAGAAGTAGTCAACATGGATTCACCAAGGGGAAGTCATGTCTGACTAATCTGATAGCCTTCTATGACAAAGTAACTAGATGGGTGGATGAGGGGAGGGCAGTGGATGTTGTCTACCTTGACTTTGGCAAGGCTTTCGACACTGTCTCCCACATCATCCTCACAGGAAAGCTTAGGAAGTGTGGCTTAGATGAATGGACAGTGAGGTGGATTGAGAACTGGCTTACAGATAGAGCTCAGAGGGTTGTGGTTAGTGGCGCAGAGTCTAGTTGGAGGTTAGTAACAAGTGGTGTCCCTCAGGGGTCAGTACTGGGCCCAGTTTTGTTCAACATATTCATCAATGATCTGGATGAAGGGATAGAGTGTACCATCAGCAAGTTTGCTGATGACACAAAACTGGGAGGAGTGGCTGACACGCCAGAAGGCTGTGCTGCCTTACAGCGTGACCTCGCCAGGCTGGAGAGTTGGGCAGAAAGAAACCTTATGAAGTTCAACAAGGGTAAGTGTAGGGTACTGCACCTGGGGAGGAATAACCCCATGCACCAGTACAGGTTGGGGGCTGACCTCCTGGAGAGCAGCTCTGTGGAGAGGGACCTGGGAGTCCTGGTGGACAACAGGATGACCATGAGCCAGCAATGTGCCCTGGCGGCCAAGAAGGCGAATGGCATCCTGGGGTGCATCAAGAAGAGTGTGGCCAGCAGGTCGAGGGAGGTCATCCTCCCCCTCTACTCTGCCCTGGTGAGACCGCATCTGGAGTACTGTGTCCAGTTCTGGGCTCCCCAGTTCAAGAAAGACAGGGAACTGCTGGAGAGGGTCCAGCAAAGGGCAACAAAGATGATTAGGGGACTGGAGCACCTTTCTTATGAGGAAAGGCTGAGGGACTTGGGTCTCTTTAGTCTAGAGAAAAGAAGATTGAGGGGGGATCTTATTAATACATACAAATACTTAATGGGAGGATGCCAGGGGGATGGGAGTAGTCTTTTTTCAGTGGCACCCAGTGATAGGACGAGGGGTAATGGGCATAAACTTGAACATAGGAAGTTCCATCTTAACATGAGAAGGAACTTCTTTACTTTGAGGGTAGTGGAGCACTGGAACAGGCTGCCCAGAGAGGTGGTGGAGTCTCCCACTCTGGAGACATTCAAAACCCGCCTGGACGCTGTCCTGTGTAACGTGCTGTAGGTGACCCTGCTCTGGCAGGAGGGTTGGACTAGATGATCTCCAGAGGTCCCTTCCAACCCTAACAATTCTGTGAATTCTGTGAATTCTGTGAATTCTGTGACTTGCCCCATCTTTTATTGCTGTAGCAGCATCTCTGCCTTTCCTGGAAGGACTTTTGGTTTGGTTTTCTTTAATGAGCCATTTTAATAATCCATTTTTTTTTTAAATGCATTTGTAAAATTTAGTGGGATTTACTGGGAAATCTACTGGGAAAAGATCTTCAGCTCAGGGCAGTCGTTCAATACTGTATTTGGAGGAAAAGGGAGATGGTTAGGTAGGAATTCAGAGGGGTATGGGAGAAAAGTGGGGTTCTTGGGGTTGAGGGCTGAGGACATAGCTTCCCACCCCACCACACTCCCAAAAGAACCTGCACTGGTGTGCTCCAGGAGCGGGATGCCCTCTGGACTTTGGATCTTGTTAATCATTGCTCCAAAATGGTGGCACAAGGGCAGAAAACTTTTCCCTCACCTTTTTATTCTCCCTCCAGTTCCTGGAACCTCCGAGGACCTGTAGCTCCTGGAGCAGCGTAAGGCTGCGTTTTGGATACCAGACAGAGAAGATCTACCTCCTGTCCTCTTGGCTGGCCAGAGATCCTGCACTGATGGCTGCTTGACACCCCTCCAAGCTGTGAGGGCAGGTAAACACGTGAGGCGGCAAGGGGAGGGAGATGAAAGGTTGGTCCACCAGCAGGAATTTAGCCGTAGAACTCCTTAAATGCCCCATGAGCCAGCAGTTCCCCATCTCCACAAGCTGCTGGTGAGGTGAGGTCCTCATGAGGAAGGACAGGAGAATATCCAGGTGGGTTATCCCATAATGCACATCCTATATCCCCAGCATCCCCTTATAGGCTCCTGTTTGGGACCCACAATGGAGGGAAGAAGTTTCTTGGTTTGGAGTCAGCACCCTTTGCCCCATCTCACTCCTTCTCACCGTAGTGGCGCAGAGCTGCGGGACCCCATCCCCATCCTCACCCCGGCGCGATGCCAGTCCACTATGTGACATATGAAGGCATTAAGTTCCCTCCTGCCTACAACTCTGAGCACAGCTTGAATTTCGCCCACAATGAGTTCCTGGTGCGGGATGATGACATCTTCAACGTCACCTACCCCAAGTCTGGTATGAGGGGTGGACAGCAGGGCTGGCCAAGGGTGGAAAGGGGCAGGAGAGGGGTGAGGGCTTTGGAAACATCTCCAGGTGTTCTTCAGAGGGTGAATCTTCTCTTGTGGTGGGGAACAGGACTGTTTTGGGTTTTTTTTACTGCAGTGGTTGTGCATGGGCAGGGCAGCACCATTGCCTGGGGAGGCACAGACTCAGTGCTGAGGGTGCTGCTGACCATGGAGTCATGGCAAAGTGATGTCCTCCTATCCTGACCCCCTAGGCAAGGTCCCCTACCTTTCATCTCTGCTTTCCCTGGCAGGCACCGTGTGGATGACCGAGATCCTGAGCCTCATTCGCAGCCGTGGCTGTCCCAGCTGGAGCCAAGCTGTCCTCAATTCTGACCGCATGCCCTGGTTCTCAACTCGTCTGGGGCTGGAGTCAGCGCTCAGCTACCCCTCGCCTCGCCTGCTGACCTGCCACCTGCCCAGGCACATCTTCCCTAAGTCCTTCTCCCATTCACATGCCAAGGTGGGATGGGCACCCATGCAGAGCTTCAAGGGAAATGAGGGGGCTGGAAAGACCATTGCACAGGATCTGGGGAACCTTGGAGTGAGGGGTGTTGGGTGAGGACCTTGGTGTTGGCCGAAGAGAGTGGCAAGTGTCCTCCACGCCCTCCAGGTGGAAATGTGCAGAGCCCAATCTCACATCCTGCCCCTCTTGGATATTTTGGAGAGTCTCCAATGGCTCTAGGGGACTTGTGTGTTCATGGAGACCCCTGCCCAAGGTCTGCATGAGCAGCACAGAGTTGGTCCATGTGTGGCAGACTCCTCCATTTTCAGATCTACCCTAGTACCAGGGCCTGCAACTCCCCTTCCCCACTGAGACCGTATCACTACTGTACACACTCTACCCTAGATTATTTACACCCTACGGGATCCTCGAGATGTTGTTGTCTCCTACTACTACTTCTCCAAGATGTGCAATAGCTATGAGGATCCCACGTCTTTTGAGCAGTTCTTGAAGGACTTTCTGAATGGAGAGCGTGAGTGTAGTTTGGAGCTTACTCAGGGCACAGGGGTGGGCGGGTGGTGTCTCCCATTGCCTCCGGGTCAAGGGTCTTTTGCTACTGTCCACTGATGATGGCTGTGAAGCCAAGCTTCCCGCAGGAGAGGGGTGAACAGCTCAAGAGGAAAGCAAAGCACTTCTGGAGAGACATACAGGTCCACAAAGCCCTGTTGTGCTTTGAAGGAGATGGAAAGTAGATTTCCCTGCCTTCTCCTGCAGAGTTCAGATGTCTTCAGGAAGTCTTGGCTAAGAAACCCTATAAAGCCCTGCCGTGACCATTGTACACCTCTAGCCTCAACCTCTTCCCACCATGGAGGTGGCTGGAGAAGAACCCATTGTTCAGCTGCAATTGCAGTTGAACCTCCCAGTCCCATCTGCTCCCTGGACACCATTGCTCTGTCCCGCATAGTGGCAGCCCTGCTCCCAACCTTGTGTGAACCCTCCTTGGCCATGCACATCCCCTGCCTGACCCCAATCTACTGCCTTTTGCCTCCCATCAGTGCCCCATGGCTCCTGGTTCGAACACGTCCGGGGCTGGATGGAGATGAAGGACACAGAGAATTTTTTCTTCATCACCTATAAAGAGCTGAAGCAGGTAGACACCTAGGCAGACCCTCCAGCTCTAAACGTGCTGGTGTGTCACAAACCACTTGGTGGTAACAGGCTCCATCTGTCCCTCCAGGACCTGCATGGAAGCGTGAGACGTCTCTGCCGGTTCCTGGGGCAGGATTTGGATGACAAGGCCATCTCCTCAGTGGTGCAAAATGCCTCCTTCACAGCCATGCGGGAGAACCCAATGTGCAGCTCCATCCTGCTCCCTGCAGACATCATGGACCAGACAAAGGGCCAGTTCCTGAGGAAGGGTAAGCAAGAGGGATCCCATACAACGCCTCGGGGAGACCTCCCATCAGGTGTCCCGCCCCATGAGGACAGCCAGAGCGAGGGTGTCTTGGAGTGCTTCATCACAGTGCATTTGGGTCTGAGGAACGGGGTCCATAGAATCATAGAATCACAGGATAAAATCATAGAAGTGTTTGGGTTGGAAGGGACCTTTAAAGTGCAACCCCCCTGCAGTGAGCAGGGACATCTTCAGCTAGATCAGGTTGCTCATAGACCCATCCAACCTGACCTGGAATGTTTCCAGGGATGGGGATGGTCTCTCATTCTGCCAGACCCCACCTTGGATTGGTAACTGGACCAAAGAGCTGAGCCTCTCCCCTTGTGCCTACAGAGCAGAGAGGGGGCGCTGTGTGGTGGGGTAGTCTCTGAGCCCGAAACACTTTGTCCTCAGGCATCTGCGGCGACTGGAGGAACCATTTCACAGTGGCACAGAGTGAGACCTTCGACAGGATCTACCGGGACAGGATGCAGGGGCTGAACGTGACATTTCCTTGGGACAGGCGTTAGGATTCGTCCCTATCTGAAGCCAGCTAAGCACTGGTTATAAAACAGCCACTGACAACTGGGGTAACTGGCTGCTGTTGGACAGAGGGGGTTGTACCCAGGGCTGGAAATGGTACCAAACCTCAGCGTGAACACAATTAATTTTGTAGAATCATAGAATCATTTCAGTTGGAAAAGACCCTTAAGATCATCAAGTCAAATAATTGACTTAACACTGCCAACACCACCACTAAACCATGTCCCTCAGCACCACATCTACCCATCTTTTAAATACTTCCAGGGATGGCGACTCCACAACTTCCTGGGGCAGCCTGTTCCAATGCTTGATAACCCCTTCAGTGAAGAAATGTTTCCTAATATCCATCCTAAACCTTCTCTGGTGCAACTTCAAGCCATTTCCTCTTGTCTTACTGCCTGTTACTTGGGAGAAGAGACTGACCCCCACCTCTCCACAACCTCCTTTCAGGGAGCTGTAGAGAGCGATAAGGTCTTCCCTCAGCCTCCTTTTCTCCAGACTAAACACCCCCCAGTTCCCTCAGCCGCTCCTCATGAGACTTGTGCTCCAGACCCCTCACCAGCTTCATTGCCCTTCTCTGGACACTTTCTGCTGCGCTTTTGCACCCTTTCTCTATGGGAGAGCTTTTTCTCCTGGGTTGTGCTTCTCTTCTCTGTTCCATCCCTTGACCTTTTTTCCCTGAGGTAGTCTCTATGGTCTTCTAGCGTAGAACCCACCTCCCTGCCCTCCAACCCATCCCTCTTCTGCAAGCAGAGGTGAATAGCATATGCCTGAGAGCACACAGATGAAACACGTCCTGCTTGTCACATCCACTGGCCAGGGCGTCTTGTTTGGGAGCTGCAACAGGCCAAAATGTTCTCTTGGGGCTGCTCATTAAACAGGAGAGCAGCAGGGAAAATGAGGAGGACCACTTAAAAACAGTGGTGTTTTGGGTGTACTGCCAGTGCTAGAACAAATGATGAGATGATGATGATGATGATAATAATAATAATGATGATCATGATAATGACGATGATGATAACAATAACAATAACAAACAATAACAATAAATGGGAGAAAAAGCAGGGCTGGTGGGCTGCCAGACCCTGGGGTTGTGGGAGCCCGGTCCGTCCCTTGCACAGGGTTGAACAGCAGAATGTCAAAATATTCCCTCCACTTTCCAAGCCAAGAAGGGGAGCTCTTTGAATGCATGGGACATGTCCAGGACCAACATGCACAGTCAGTTCTAGGGCCAGCGGTGCTGTACAAGCGTTTAGGAATGGGTGTGCAGACAAGACAGCTTCCCATTGCACCCCTCTTGATCAAGCCTGATAGAGCCAATACCAGGTTATGGGTTTCAGTGAAGCAAGGCTAGTTGTGCAACATGTGGTGGGACTCAGAAGCACAGCCTTGTCCTAGCGTTGACGGAGGAGTAGTGCAGGATGGCATCTCCCAGGGGACCGCAGCCAAAAGCGTCACACATAATCAGACTTCTACCAGATTTAGATGATTGTCCCTACAGCGAGGCTTTGTGGAATCAAAGAAGGGAAAGGACCTTTGTGGACTTTGGCCAAGAGACAGCTCAGTTGTTTGTGTTCCACAGAACCTGCAGGAAATCCCAGCTCCTTCACCTGCCAAAGTACTGCTTGTAATTAATGACAGCCTTACTTCCTGACAGAGGCAGCCAGAGACACCTGGATGGCTCCAGGCGTGGCAAGACACTGTCCAGAGAAGGAAGGTTGTCCCAGGGACAGTGAGCAGTGCCATGTTTTGCATGTCCACATTGAGGTCTTGAGCAATGTCACAGCCAGAAGATCACTTGACTTAATGAAAGTCTACGTCGAGAAATAATAAGAAGGAGTGTGTGACATTGGAAGGTGCATCCCAAAACCACAGTCAAAATTGTTTCCTTTTAGCTAGTCCACTTTGCATGGTGCTACCCCTCTGCAGTAGGAATAAGAGCTGGTTCATGCCTTGCCTGCATGGAGTTGTCCACAAAGCCACGTTCAGCACAGGAGGTGTGATGATGAAAGGATAAATGGTTGAGTTTTAGACCCTAAGCATGCTGGTCATATGAAAGCTTGATGAGCACAGCAGGTCTGATGATGAAACTCAGCACATGGTTGGGTTTTCACCCTAAGAGTGCCAGTCATATGAAAGCTTGATCCTGGCATGCCTGAGGAAGTGATAGCGTTATTAAAAGACAACATGGACACTGCTTCCCTTGGAAGAGATGGAGAGCCTCGTTAAATAAATAGCAGGTCTTTGCTTCTCCATGTTGAGAACTGACTGACAGTGATGATGCTAAAGCGGCCCAAGTCACTGCCTTCCCTACTGTGCAGGACCAGTGTATGGCTGGAGGAAAATCAGGAAATTCAGGTAATCTTGAGAGTGTCCTGAGGAGAGGTATTAGGGCTGGCCAGGACTACAGTCCAACAATTCAGCAGAGAGAAAACAGGAATTTCTTTTTGAATTTTTGGGTACTCCAAGTAAAAGATGCTGGAAAATGGCAGAACATTTCAGGAAAGCCACAGTGGATGTCAAGAATTGTCATATAGTACAAGGGATGCCACTCCACCCAAGAACCCTCAGCAGTCAGTTGCCTCAAGCCTCCCTATGTGGTCAAAATTACACTTTAATCCACTTGGATCTTAATGAATGAATGAATAGGTGAAAA